AGCACACGTTTAGTCAAACGATCTGCTTCACTTGTCTCTTTGGCGACTTGTAATATAGTGCTACGAATGGTGAAACTCACTGACGATGTCGACTACGATGACGGCGAAACGTCTGGGAATGTGCCATGTCCACGGTCCGCCTCTGAAAATAATTATGCATACAATGGACTAAGAACAAGGTGCGTTTCTATCAGTCTTCCTACCATTATGACCAAGTTGCGAAAACAACTTCTATACAACGAAAGGAGACTGCGACCACACAAAAGGCCACACCATCTTGGTCTTCATATCTATTATGACCAAGTTGCGAAAACAAGGTCAGACAACTTCTATACAACGAAAGGAGACTGCGACCACACAAAAGGCCACACCATCTTGGTCTTCATATCTTCGACTTCTTAAATATTTACAATTTGCTTGGCTTCAAACTTTTAAACGTTTTTACCTCAATTTACTTATATAGTCAAACTGGCATTCACTAGAACCTTGTTTAGGTTAGTTTTATATACTCTTATAAAAACCTGCATAAATAATGCTGTATATTTTTGGACTGGAATATCTAACTATTTATTTACCCCAGACTGCTTCCCGTCAGGCTGCAGACAATGAAATCTTCACTGCATTTCGTCGTGTCCGCGTTGGTCTGGATCGAGCTCGTCTTGTCATTGATATGGTCCTCAAGCGCGAGCGACGAAAATTAGCCCTTGTCAAACGGCTTCGCAAAATAGCCGATATCCAGTTAAGTCTGATTAGAGAGGGTAAAAACAGCACAAACATCATCGACGCTGACTGGAACTTTTTTTCCACGGCTCACATTGGAGCATCCGTCTATGACAATGCTGACTTATGGACTCGACTATCATTACGCCTTACATCCTTAGGGGCTCCATTTCTTCCAGAAAAGACTGACACCATGCTAACAGATCCACAAATATCCGCTGCTATATTGATGGAGGAGCGGATAAAATTAGAATCTGCTTCATCTCAGCCACAAGAAGTGTCCGAATCTTCCGCTCTGGGGGACCACCACAATGCTCCACCATGCATCAACACATGGGAGCCTGTTGTGGAGCCATTGATTGGAGCACCTGAGATCATACAACTTATCCCTCCTCATCAGTTGGTTCTATCTCTCGAAGTCCGAAGAAGACTTCGATCAGCCTTGGTTGGGTCACCATTTCGCATTACTTGTCAAATTGACGATTCTGATGACAGAGATAGACCAAAAGACGATTCTTCCTTTAATGGAACATCGAAAGTTCACAAGGCCCCATCATCTCGTCTTAACTCTTCTAGGTCAAGACGATCTTTTATACAAAACCTGT